TGGGGGGGGGGGGGGCTATCAGTCCTATCTCCTGTTAGTCCTCCATTCTAGGGTCAGGGTCAGGATTCCTGCCTCAGCCTTCCCAACATGGGACACACCCTCCTCAGCCTTGCCTAGGCCTAAGCTCCCAGCTTCCTGGGACACAGCCCACACCCGGCAGGCACTGTGCCATAGGACAAAGTCTGGAGGCCCAGCCCGCCCACCCACATTTCTGCCCTCTGCGCCCTGCCCCAGGGCTCCGGGAGTGGGGAGACCTGCTGCTACAACTCCAGCCCTCTCCCTGTTCAGATCTGAGAATCTTGAGCTGGCCAGACCTTAAAGGCCCAGTATTGAACCAAGGGTGCTTTTTACAAATACCTTGACCTGGGCCCTACCCAGCCCGAGGGATCTGACCCCATCAGTGCATGTGGGGGACTGAGGGCTAGTGTTTTATAGGAAACTCCCCAGGTGACTCCCTAGGCAGCCAGAATTCAGAAACACTGACCCACTAGCCAAGCCACTATACATTTGGGTAAACCGAAGCTCAGAGAGGTGGGGAAAACAACTTTCCAAGAGTCACACAGCAAGTCAGAGTCAGAACTGGGAACAGGAGTTCCTGATCTACTATGTGCCAGGCCTGCGTGACCCATCTCTTTCCTTCCCTAGTTGAATCCTCACTGTGAATCCATGGGGCTAGGCATTACTATCCCCATTTTACAGAGGAGGAAATCGATGCACAGGTAGGTGAAGTAACTTGTCCAGGGGCACACAGGTCGGAGGTAGGGGAGCTGAGATGTGAACCAGGTGGCATGGCTCCTGAGCCTATGCCCTTAACCCCTGTGCCATGAGTTAGCACCCAAACAAGAGGAAGCACACTGTGAGGGTGTAGTCTAGAGCCAGACTGCCCAGATACAGTCATGGCTCTGCTATCGATAGCTGTGTGACCCTCGGCAAGTTACTTCCCCTCTCTGTGCCCTCACCTATAAAGTGGGCATAATAACAGAAGGCACCTCATAGGGTTATTGTGAGAAATTAAACAAGTCTCTCATTCTTATCTGAAAAGAGTTTAGGAGAGCTCCTAGTGAATAGTAAACACTACATAAATGATTGTTAAATAAGTCTTGTAATACAATTTAGTCCTTATAACATCTTTAAAAAGCAGGACTTAGTCCCATTTTGCAGAGAAAGAAACAGAAAATAGCTTGCCCAGAGTCAGAGCATGTTAGCAGCAGAGCTGGGATTAGGATGCACTTTTCTTGGTCCTGAGTCCCTTTCAGTTTTGTGCACCTGCTCTCCACCTCCCTGGCCCTGCCAGGTCCAACAGACAAAAGACTTTCTGCCATGCACAGTGGATGGGCCACTCCGGAATGTATACTTGCCTCCTTCCTAAGTCAGGTTGCTCAGATTTGGGGCAGGCCTGAGACCCTGGGTGAGGACAGGGAGGCCCTGCAGCTCAGGTGGCCTTCTGGGTAAGGGCTTGAGTTGGGGTCTCAGCCCTGGGCCTTGCCTGCTGGGTCCCTTGCAGCCTCTTAGCCTCTTAGTCAGGTTGCTCAGATTTGGGGCAGGCCTGAGACCCTGGGTGAGGACAGGGAGGCCCTGCAACTCAGGTGGCCTTCTGGGTAAGGGCTTGAGTTGGGGTCTCAGCCCTGGGCCTTGCCTGCTGGGTCCCTTGCAGCCTCTTAGCCTCTTTGAGCCTCCAGGTCCTTGCAGACAAATCTCTGTGTGAATTCAACCTCACAGGGCTGTTGCTGAAATTAAGCAGGATGATTTGGATAAAGGGCTTTGTTTGGGGCTGGCACATGGCAGCTGTCCAGGCAGTGCCAGTTTCTTTTTTCTGGGAGTAGTCACTGTGAGGAATTGTTGGAACCCAAGCCCAGGAAGTTTAGGGAAAATGGAATTGGCGGCCTCTCCCTGCCTGTGCTGATTGCTGAGAGCCAGGCGGTGAGTGCCTGTGTGAGAAGGCTGGGGATCGGTGCCAGGAGGCCCCCGTGCTCACCCCATGGGGGTTCCTGTGAGGAGCTTGGTTGGGGCAGCCTTGTCGTGGCATCCTGGGAGTGGGGTGGTCCGTCCAGGGCTCTTCCTGAGCCAGAACATTCTGTCTGTGACCAGGAAGTGGAGCCAGATCACACGGCCTCTTACCCACCCTTCCACCCTCTGCTTTGTAGTTATTCCTCTGGCCCTAAGGCAGGCATCTCAGCCTCTCCAAGGTCCCCCAGGGAGTCATGGCCAGCTAGGCCTGTGTTCTCCCTGCTGATAGTCAATGGTCAGCCCTGGCTATGCCTCAGTGGCTATGGAAGCACATTAAAAATGCAGTCTTGACCTCCTCTCAGAGAATCTTTGTCCAGTTGTGATGGACCCAGAAATCTGTATCCCTAAAAGGTTCCTCTGATTCACACTTTCCTCCAGCCTTCTGGAAATATCTGGCCTCAGCCACCTCCCCGAGAATTCTGTGCCCAGCCTCCTAGCAACTGAGGCTGTTGTGGGAGTGAGTCTGTATCCACCTGTCTGGGAAGCACATCCACCCTGGTCCTCCAGGTTTATCAGACCTGGGGGCAGAGCGGACCCCAACAGATGGGCTGGAGAGGCATGGGCTTTGCCCTGCTGATCTGTTGGGCTTCTTGGGCAATGCTGGTCATTGCCCCATAAGGACTTCTGACTTCCAACCACTTGAGTGGGCTCTGTGACCCAGCAGCTCTGAAGACAGTCTTAAACCATCAGGACTTTGCCATCCCAGCATCTCTCCTGCTGGTCTCATTTCTCACTCACACTGGTCCATTCTTTCTCTCCCTCTTTCCACTCTTCAAGTGCACCAAGCTTCCTCCTCCTCAGGCTTTTGCACCTGCTGCACCCCCTGCCTGGGATGCTTTTCCCTTGGCTCTTCACTGGGCTAGCTTCTCCATTGGCCTTCCCTGGCCACCCCACTCCACCCCTGCCCTGTCATTCTCTGCACCATTAGCCAGTTTCAGATCTTTATACAACCAGAAAACCTGGATTGTTTACTTATTGTCCCCACCTGCTCTGCTGCACATCAGACCTTGTCAGTTTTACTTCTGCATCCCCAGCCATTGGCACAGTTCCTGGCACAAGGTTGGCACAGGATGACTGCTTGTTGGCTGAATGCATGAATGAGCATCATGCCTGTATCAACATGTGTGCCCTGTGCATCCACGGAAAGAGCGTGGTGGCATTAGAGCTCTGCATAGTTCCAAATCCCAGCTCTGGCCCATGCACCTCCCTGAGCTTCCATTTCCTCATCTGTGAAATAGCCATGCTATCACCTGCCCAGTAAAGTTATGTCATAGTTGGAGACAGTGTGTGTAAAGTCCCTGAGGCACCATGAGTGGGCAAGAAAGGCTGGTGGTTATTGTTATATGAACCAGAAGGAAGACTGGTCGGAAGTCAGCCTGGACTCTAATGTCTGCAGCCCCTGCAGAACCAGCTAGCTCATCATTCTGTTTCACATGGCACCTCACCACGCCAAGCACTGTTCTGCGAGCTGGGGGCTCAGCAGGAGCAAACCAAAGCCCCTGCCCTCCTGCAGCTCACATTCTCAGAGAGGGGAGGGTGGCAGACAATGAACGAAAAAAATCAGTATAATGAGGAGTCTATTCAATCCTGATAAGTGCTAAGGGATGAGGGTTAGGCTAGATCAGTTTGTGGGGTGCGATTTTACATGAGGGAGGGGGCATATCCAAAGAGGCAGCTTCCAAAGGAGGCAGGGGAGCCAGTTTCTTGTTGGGCGGTGAGAGGCCAGCAGGGAAACATGGCTGACCCCAGTACCCTGACTCCCGAGAGGATCAGGCCTTCTCACCTACTGGGCCCACTGAGTTTGTACTTAACAAGTAGACACCCTTCTTCTTTCCCCTAGAAACCTCCTCCACCTCGCTCAGGATGGTGGCCTATGTCTTCATCAGCGTAGGGGCATTCACCGTGCTCATGGGCTTCCTGGGCTGCATTGGCGCCGTCAACGAGGTCCGCTGCCTGCTGGGGCTGGTGAGTACAGGCCCCTTCACCATTGCCCGCCGCTCCACCCCCTCATCCAGCCAAGCAGGGCCTGAGTCCTACACTGGCTCAAACTTTTGGTGGAGAGCATCTCTCAAGGTGGGTGTGATTGGGTGCACCTGTGGGGGACCTACAACTGACTCTGTGCCTCCTCTGTGTCCCCAGTACTTTGCCTTCCTTCTCCTGATCCTCATTGCCGGGCCTGAGTCCTACACTGGCTCAAACTTTTGGTGGAGAGCATCTCTCAAGGTGGGTGTGATGGGTGCACCTGTGGGGGACCTACAACTGACACTGTGCCTCCTCTGTGTCCCCAGTACTTTGCCTTCCTTCTCCTGATCCTCATTGCCCAAGTGACTGCTGGGGTCCTCTGCTACTTCAAGATGGGTGAGGTAAGCACCATCTCCCTCATTTTCCCCTCACTGGGCTGGAATGGCCACATGGAGGATTGGCCTTGGTTGTGGGGAACAGACAGGAAGCCTCTCAGTTGTCACAGACAGACCCAGTAGGTGCTAGGGACAGCCTTCTGAACCTCATGTTCCATGTGATCAAATAGTGGAACGTTAGAGGAGAAGATAGTGCATGTGGGTAGAGTCACCACTAGGCCTGAATCTCGGCTCTACCCCATTGCTTTCTTGCTGTGTGGTCTTGGGCAACCTGCTTACCTCTCTGTGCCTGTTTCAAAATCTGTAAGTTGGGAGCAGTAATAAAATTTAACTCTTGGGGTTGTTGCATGGATTCAGCAAGATTATCTTACTAAAACACTCAGCACAGTGTGTGGCACCATACGTACTCAATAAACGTTTGTTGTTCCTGCTGTTATTAAGACACCTTAGCAAGTATTAAATCCATGCCACTCTTCCACAGATGAGGCCCAGGTAGGAGGCTGTTAATAAAGACAATAGTCTTGTGTCAGAGAGGAGGTGTTCAGCTTTCAGGGATAGAAAATCAGACTTACTGTGGCTTAAACTCTAAGGACATTTGTTGTTGACTTAACCAGAAGTCTGGTTTGGAAACTCAAAGACCCTGGTTCTGGCTGTTTGTTCACCACCCTCACCATGATGGCTTTTCTGCATCATGTCACTCACCTCATGATCATGAGATAGTACAATGTCTGTGCTGCTGTGACCAGAAGAGGGGGATGTGGGCAGTGCCAGCCATGGCCATTTGTTTAATCAGAAAAGCAAGCCCTCTCCAGACTGGGTTACGAAGTTGCCCCTGGCTTCAAGGGAGGCTGAGAAAGTGAGTATCCAGCTTTCAGACTCTACAGACAGAGGCACAAGTGGGAAAGGAGATGGTAATGGCTATTTGGTGAACCAATCAATCGTGACTGTCACAGTGATCATGTATGAAGGCCCTGCTGTGAGCACATGGTATCTTCTAGAAGCTTTACATGCAGTATCTCATCCTCACAGCAGCTTGATAGGGGAGAAGCAGACATTCAGAGAGATTGTGTGAGGAGGGGGTTAAAGTATAATGCCCTCCAAATTGAGAAGATGCTTTGAGACAAAAGAAGGAAGAAAGCAGGTCCATTTGGTAATCAGAGATATTTATTAATCGGGGTGACTTACAGGAAAGCTGGATGCAGTGAAGAATCAGACACAAGCAGATGAGAGCTCTGACTCTCTGAGGTTAGACAATATTTATATAGCAAAGCCTCTGTTACTTGAAATAACTTCAAGGAAACATCTTAAGAAAACTTAGTTGATAACATCATTCACAAGATGTCTTTGTGATTCACAAGGTAGGGGATCTTGTGATTTTAGTGCTCAGACCACTGATACCAGCTGCTGTAATAAATCACTCATCCCTGAAACCTATGTTTCTTTTACAGCTCACCCTAAGGTTCAGGTACAACTGGTCAGTGAAGCAAAGGGATGAGGTTAAGCAGGAGTCAACATGACAGGCTGGGCACAAAATGGTGTTGGTTCTGTTCACTCTCTAACAGATGAATAACAATAACAACATCAATAATAGTAACTATAACCCCCACCATCCCTACTATATAACCCACACCATACACCAAATACAGTACTGACCACTTGACATTCATTTTCTTGCTGATCCTCACTAGGCCTTTGCAAGGTAGTGTGAGAATATCCATCCTGCAGATGATGGGGGTGAGGGCAGCCCAGGCTCCCTGACCCCAAGTCTACACTACCTCACACCCCACTGCACATGGCATGTGGCCCAGCCAAGCCTTGGGACCCTCCCTGCCTCCCCTCCCATGCTACCAGTTCTCTCATCCACCATTGAGGGTGTCAGAGCCAGCAGCCAGATGGGCTTCTGCATTTTACAACTTGAAGGTCAAGTTGCCTCAGATCCCTTTTGGAAGGAAGCTGAGAAAACATCATACCAACATCAACCACTAACACTTAATAGAAGTTAGAACAAGCCTGTCACTAAGCGTGCTGCACTTATTATATTGCATTTAATTATTCCTCACAACAATTCTATGAGATTGTGGGTATTAATATCCCCATTTTCAGATGTGGAAGCTGAGGCACAGGGAGGGTAAGCAACTTGCCGAAGTTCACACAGCTAGTAAGTGGCAGAGCTAGGATTGGAACATAGGCAGCCTGGCTTCTGAATTCATACTGGTGAAATTTTCATTGTGGTAATTCCTACCTGAATCCATTTTACTTATTGATAATCCACACCCAGCTTGTTTCTCGGGAGAATTGGAGCTGGCTCCCAATATAGGCACAGGGTAGCTAAAGTCAAAATGAGAGAGAGCAGAACTTACATTGAGAAAGAGAATGACCATTGCTCCTGAAACCAGGGGGTGAGGTGCTCACAGCAGCTGGGGGATAACTTGAGCACTGAACTTCCTGGCAGTTGAGGCAAAAGTGGAAATAGTGGATTCAGCAGGTGAAAGGAAGCTCACTTGCTATCAGTCAGGGGCCAGTGGTTAGGGGAGGGAAACTCCTCTCCCACCAAAAGGGTTGTAGGGTCAGGTCTTCATTTCTGCCCTATAGTGCCTGGGGCTTCTCTGGGAGCCAGTCAGTGGTATATTATTTTCAGGGTGGATAGAAACCAGGCCCCAGTGAGCTAGTTCCTATGACTCAGAAGCTGGTTGCCTCTGCAGGGGTCTCAGGCAGTCTGCCCTCTTGTCCATGTGATTTGCCACCTCATGGTAATAAGGGTAACACCCATTGCGCGGGCACTGAACACGCTGCAGGAGGTGAGCTAGTAGCTTAACACACATTTCAGTTTACAAACACTTTCCATATTATGAAACAGAGGCTCAGAAAAGCAAAGTGACTTTTGGCCAGGGTCACACACAGTTCAGATGCATCAGGGTGGAGGTTTCCATCCCGATCCCCCTGACCCAAGGCCCATGGCTCCCTCTACAGCATGCCACCTCCTGCAGGCTGCTATTCACTCTGCTTGGCTGGTGATGAGGACCTAAGCTTCGAAGGGGCCCTACGCTCTAGGGTATGGCTTATTTGGAGAAGCAGGTTTCCTGATTCCAGTCTGGACTCTGTCCGTTGTACTTGCTGTTCCCTCCTCTGTCACCTCTTTGTCCCAGCCTGCCTCATCTTGGCCCACTGTCTTTTCTGGAAAACAGGGAGAATTTCCCAGCTTTGTTGGGGAAGTTCTTGTGCCACTGTATCATCCGAGTTGGAATGAGTGATTTATTTTTTCTTTCCTGGTACATTGTAAATCCCAGTAGAAGACTAAACATACCCTTGATGGTGTTTATTCCTGCAGATGAGGCCCAGCTGGGGAGGTGGGACTTGTCTGAGCCTGAAGGAAAAAGGCCTTGAAGGAGATGGAGCCTTGGACCTCCTGGCAGGTGGTGGGAGTGAGCCTCTGGGCTCCCACTGACGTGGTCTCCGGGGCTGCCATCTGTCCTTCCTGCCCCCCTCTCCCAGCAGCCTCTATTCCCAGGGCAGGAAAGGGGAGGCTGGCAGCCTTGGGCAAGGCACAGAGCCTCTCATGTCTTGGATTTTGCTTCTATAAATTGAGGAGAATAAACCTGCCTGGCCTTCCACCCCCATCCAGGATGAAGTGAACACAGACTGTGACACTTTTATAAAATATAAAATGGTGGCCAAGAGCCTTGACTCCAGAACCAGGCTGCCTGCATTGGAATCCCTGCTCTGAGACCCTGGTCGAGTCACTCAGCCTCTCTGTGCCTAGTTTCCTCATTTGTCAAATGGTAGTCATCATACAGATCCACTCTCCCTTATCTGCAATTCTGACATCCAAAAACACTTTAAAAACCAAAAATAGCATTTGAAATTCATTTGGTGGCACAGTCAACCCTGAATGGAAGCAAGGCTATTTGTAATCTTTGTTTACTCCATCCAGGTGTCCCTCAGGAAAAATAAAGGGGAGTACTTTTGGGGTGCTGCCCAGACCCCGCTGGGGTGTGACATATCCCCCCAATTCCTTTCTAAAATCTGTGAACATTTCTCGATGTCAGAGTCCCAGCAGGCAACCTCGCAGCACTGTGGGGAAGAGGGAGAGCATAGCACCTGGCCCCGAGCAGGTGTTTGCTGGCATCATTCAAGTGTTTGTTATTATTGCCACAATTGTGCCTGGTATGGGCTCAGTAAATGGTGGCTGTTCCTGTTGTCACCGGTATTAGTATTAGTATTAGCAAGGGCTGTGGGAACCAGTGTTGGGGTGTGAAGTTAATATCCCTCTGGCTCTGTCCTCATCTGATTGTCCATCCAGCCTCTGTTCAGTGGGCACAGCCCAGGTCTGGGGTTCAGGGCCCTATGTTCTAGGGTAGGCTTTGCCACTGATTGCTGTGTGGCTTCAGACAAGTTACCCAGCCTCTCTGAGCTGTAAGTGACCTCTTAGGCCATTCCTAGCTGTGATAGTCTGGGAGTCTTACTGTTCCCTCTAGGCAGTGGAGGGTAGAAGGTGTCAGAAGGAAGGAAGTGAGTTTCTACAGTTTCCTGTGACGTGCTGGGTTTAGGCCATTCCTAGCTGTGATAGTCTGGGAGTCTTACTGTTCCCTCTAGGCAGTGGAGGGTGGAAGGTGTCAGAAGGAAGGAAGTGAGTTTATACAGTTTCCTGTGACGTGCTGGGCGCTGGGCTCAGTGCACTCACACAGGCCATACTGCGAACCTTCCCAACAATCTTTGCAGGTGAGGCCACTGAGGCTCCGAGAGCATGTGTCAGGGGCAGAAGTGGTTGGGCTGGACTGCTCCCCAGAAAGGTTGGTCAGGAGAACAGTGATTCCATCTCAACAATCTTTGCAGGTGAGGCCACTGAGGCTCCGAGAGCATGTGTCAGGGGCAGAAGTGGTCGGGCTGGACTGCTCCCCAGAAAGGTTGGTCAGGAGAACAGTGATTCCATCTCTCCTCCTCCCCCTTCTCACCCAGGAAACCCACAGCACCAGTGTGCACATGCCCTCATGGCACAGGTGCTGGGCTGGGTTCCTCGGGGACAATACAGTTCTCTGTAAGTCTGCTTGCTGCACTAGGAACTCCCTAATCTGCTGGCTCGGGTTTCTCCAGCCTGAGACAGGGAGAGATGACCTTTCTCTTCCCTGTTAGGAAGGGAGAAGGAGGCATCCAGGCTGCCCCTCTGGAAAGGAACCGTGAAGAGGAACGGGGTAGGGGGGAGCTTACAGGTCGCTGAGGGGACATGACATGGGCTCTTGCTGACTTCCGGGGTAGCTGATTATGTGGACTGCATGCAGTCAGGCTTTCAGGAAAAGCTCAGGTGGTCATGAAGAGTAAACACCCACCAACTTCATGGCCAAGGACCCTCATTTCCTATCAGGATGCCAGGATGAAGCCTCAGAGCTGGTGTAACTGCATCCCAGAAAACAAGCTGGGCAGCGCCGCCTGTGGGAAGCCTGGAGAGAGGATGGGACGATGTGGATCCATTCCTTTGCACTTGGGGTGCCTCATTATAAGGGACATTTGACACTTTAGAGTAAAGATCATGGAGAGAGGTTTGACTCCATCCTAGGAGTGGGCAATGGAGCCTGGAAAATGACCCTGGGGAAGAGGGGTAATGTTACCCTGGAGATGTGGAATGGTCTCAAATATCTCATCAATATTTGTCCTGGGAGAGAGGGATTTGATTTGTTCTGTGTGGTCCCAGCTGGGACTTAGGGGTTGGGGGAGAGGCTGTGAACTAATACAAGAGGGTGGAAGTCATTTGGGCATGACTAAAATGAATTGCTTGTATCAAGAGCCCCCCAAACCCTGCAATGTGATGTTGCATGAGGTGCTGAGTTCGCCATCACGGGGAGCATTTAAGCAGAGCCTGGAAAAGTGTGGAAGGACTCTTACATCTGGTGGACTCAGAGGTCTCTTCTAATCCTGACTCTCTTTGAAGAGTCACACTATGAGGTGAAATAAAAGCACAGCATTGGGGTGAGGGGTGGTGAATAGAGTCACCCAGAGGAGGATGGGATCTCGGGTCATGTGGAGGTGGGGGTGGCTTGCCATCGTTGAGATCTCAGGGCTCTGGAGCTGCACTGATCAGGGTCATGGTCATGTCTCTGCTGCTTGCTTGCCATGTGATCTTGGGAAGTTTTTCCAGCTCTCTGTGCCTCCAATTTCTGTTCTTGCACTGGATATAAACTACACAGTTGGTCTTGGTCAGGACTCTCTGCTGCATGTGACACAAACCTAGCTGAAAGTGTCCAGAGCCAGCTGGAGGCTTAGCTGGATCTAGGTCTCCAAAGGCTGCTGCCAGGACTGTCCTTCTCCATGGCTTGGCCCTGGTCTTCTCCACTGGCTTCCTTCTCAGATGGGCTGTCCCCAGTGGAGCCTGAGGTAGGCTCAAGTCCTCATCCCACCACACTGGTGGAAAGAGAGGGACCATGTACGTTATCATGGGTCACAAGTCCATTCCTGACCACTCACTGTGCCAGGGTGTACAAGGCACTAAGTAGCAGCAAGGGTCAGGGCCTCCCCAGCCACATAGATGCTTGAGGGTGGTTATCCTCAAGGAAGGGATCTGCTGTTTGAAGATGAAGGGGAAATGGGTGCAGGAGGGCCCAAACAATAGAGTGGTTCCTGCAGGGATGAGTGTGATAATGAAGGTCTCACCCTTCCTCTCTGCTCTTTCTTGTGTCAGTAGCTACCTGGTTGCCAGGATGATCTCCCTGGGCTCCCAACACAGGTGTCCTGGGCATTGGGATGCCAAGGTATCTGGTCCGAGCTCAACCAGCCCCTGTGGCGCTGGTCCCTGTGGCCTGGCTGTGGCCCTCAGCCACATTCTAGACTGGAGGATGATGTGATGTTTCCATGGAAACCACCCAGCCTCAGTGGAAACCACCTTTATCCATCATCGTCTCATTTTAGGGGGCCTGGGAGGGAAAGAGGGAAGTCTGGGCTGCTGTGACAACCACACTGTGGTATAAATAGAGCCTGAGGCGAGCCAGTAGTGAAGGCACTAGGTGGGTGAGGAAGGATGTGGGAGAGGTAGCTCTCTGCACAGATGCTTCTGGGGACCCCTCCTTTCCACGCCCTGGGGATCATTCACTCACTGGGGACTGGAGGTGGAGCTGAGGTCTCAGAGCAGAAAGACCCAGGTTCTGCAGGCAGACAGCCCTGGCTGTGTGACTTGGGCAAACCACTTAGCCTTTCTGGGTGCCAGTTAAAACTGCTTTGACCTACTTCAAGGCATGGCCATGTGGTTTAAATGCCAATAAAACTTCATGGGTAAAAATTTGGTTCTGGAATAGGACCTCAGTTCTTCCACATGTCGACTCTGTGACCTTGGGCAAGTTAACCTCTCTGGGCTTGTTTTCTGCACCTCTGTAATGAGAGAATGGAGTCAGTACCTGGGCTACAGGTCTGCTGTGAGGATTAAATTGAGATAATACATTAAAAGGTCTTACCACGGTGCCTGGTACATAAGAAGCGTTTGATAAAAGTTAGCTACTGTTCGTGTTGGATTCATTACTGACAGGAAAGCTTTGTAAATTGTAGAACTCTTTATGAGTTAAAAAAAAAAAAACTTTATTGGAAGGAGTAAAGAGTAGTCATGGGGGCCGGTTCCCCAGGGCTAATCAGGGGAGTGAGCGGGAGCCAGGGCTGCAGGTCTATTGTCCTCTGAGCCCAGCACTCGAGGGCTCTTCATGGGGGGCTGGAGGAAGACCCCCTCACGGGTTCCCTCAGAGCCAGACTCTGAAACCCTTTGCCTGGAAGCATCTGTCCCATCTCTCCAAATTCCTCTTTCTCAGGAACCCAGTGGGAGCTGTGTGGCCTTCCCCTCAACGCCTCCGCCCTCTCTCGGGTCCCTCACCCCAGGTTCCTGCAGTGAATGCAGGAGACATGACCAGCCTGTCTGTGCTGTGTGCCTGGGAAGGCCCCTGGGCAATGTCCACAGGAGTGGCCAGGGCTGGCTCTTGGAGGCCCATCTCCCAGCTGAGTCTGGGCTCATTGGCTGGCCGAGGGAGCCCTGTCCTCGGCTCTCCAGGCTGGTTTCGGGTTTGTCTCCCTTTGCACAGCTGACTTGTTCCTGAAGAGCTGCTTGAGTCAGGTCCTCTGTTCAAGGCCCCAGGGAGAGCCCTCTAGAGTCAAATCCTTTTGTTCCCTGAACCCCTCGTCTGTCTTGTTTGTAAATCAGTGCTTTTTCTATGGCGGTGCTTCTCCCCACAGAAGAGACCCTGACTTCCTGAGCAGGGTGAGGGGCCAGCACAGTCAGGATGAGGATTTGGGGGAGCCCCAGGGCAGACAGCCAGGTCACAGAAGGATGTCTAAGCCTGTCCCTTGGGTGATTCCACAGTCCCAGGCCGGGCAATCTTGGGGGTCCCTGAATGTGCCTGCCCTGCAGTCTCAGGGCCCTATTCTGAAAAGCTGTACTCGGTTCATGGAAGAAGGGAGTTGGGCCTAGCTCTCCTTCTGTCTGTCCTTCTCTACGAGGTAGGGTGGTAACAGCTGTACCTCATGGGAGGCATGAGGATTGACTCACAAGGGAGAGAGCACGGGTACCACTGTGGCACGTAGCAAGTTGCGGTGGTTATGGCCGCACTTGTTGTTCATGTACACTACATGCCTACCCAGTGCCAGGCTTCACTCTAGCCACTGGGGACTCTGTAGTGAGCACACCAGATATAGTCACTGCCCCCACGGAGCTGACGTTCCAGCGGAGGAGAAACACAATAAACCCCGAAAACAAATGACCCAGTGCCAGGCTTCACTCTAGCCACTGGGGACTCTGTAGTGAGCACACCAGATATAGTCGCTGCCCCCACGGAGCTGACGTTCCAGCGGAGGAGAAACACAATAAACCCCGAAAACAAATAAGCATATGACATCAGCACTGTGAAGAAAAATGCAGCATGCTCATCCTTGCAGGAGAGGGAGGGCCTGGGTAGTTGCACAGGGGATGGAGAAGGGTTGGCATTTTGAAGAATGGTCCAAGAAGGCCTTTCTGAGGAGGTGACATTTGAGCAGAGCCCTGCAGGAAGCAGAGGAGGGAGCCATGTTAATATCTAGGGGAGGAGCGTTCCAGGCAGAGGGATCAGCAAGTGCAAAGGCCCTGAGGCAGGAGCCTGCCTCGCACAAAGACCACAAGGAGCCCTGAGTAATTGAAGCAGAAGCAAGAACAGGGGAAATGAGGTCTGGGAAGAGCAGGGACAAATGGTGTAGGGCCTTGTAGGCCATCCAGAGGGTTTTCAGCAGTAGTGTGGAAAGAGCCATGGGCTGGTGAGTACAGAATAGACCGCAGGGTGGGAGAGGTTGGCACTGACTGCATTGAGCACCCAGGAAGCACCAAGAAAGTGGTTGGAATGAACACTGAAACGCTCTTGAGCTGTGAGCATGTCCCCAGCGTTGTTCGGGAGACAGAGTGAGGCAATTTAAGTAGGTGTGGCCAAGGTGGGCCCGGGTTTCAGGAAATCTGAACCTGATCCTTGCCCTCTCCTCTGCAGCTGAAACAGGAGATGGGCAACATCGTGATAGACCTCATTCGGAACTACAATGAGAGCCATGAGGACAGCCTGCAGGAAGCCTGGGACTACGTGCAGGCTCAGGTATGGGCCACGTGAGGCTGTCTGGTCTGTGTGTGTCAGTGCATTTGGGGCCCTGTGCACTCATGTGTCTGGATCCAGTCATCAGCAGTGCCTGTATGTGCCTGAAAGAGAGAATACATTAGTGAGTTTGTGTGTGTGTGTCTCTACTGGGGGCAGGGGACTCCTGAGCAGCCCCTGCCTGGCGCCTCAGCCAGCACCATATCTCCTCCCTCAGGAAGCCCAGAGTCTTGGAGGCAGCTCCATGGCTTGTGGTGCCCCCATTTGGCACCGGAGCAGGGGGCCAACTGTCAACCCCCTCCTCTTGAGCCTGGAGAGTGCTGGGAGCCCCTCCAAACTGGGTGCTGAGTGAAGTTCCAGTGGTTACCTCTGGGGAGGGTGTTAACTGGGGAGGTGCCCAGAGAATCTTCTGGTGTGAAAGGGATGTTTTATCCAAATCTCGATCTGGGTGTGTGGACATATGTAAAAATTCATCAAGCTGAATTGTGCACTTTAATGTATGTGTATTACACCTCGATAAAAGTAAGAAAAACCAACTGATGGATGGACGGACTGACTGCTAACCAACCGACTGGCTGACACTGACCAACTGACCGATCAACCAGTTGACTGGCTGGCTGACTGACTAGCTGGGTTCCCAGCCTGCCTCGATGGTGAACCAGTGGCCACACACACAAATGGACCTCAGTGATCAGGTCCTGACTCCCCCTTCTGTGGTCCCAGATGCTGTGCGTGTCCTTGGCCGGGACCTTCCCTCTCTGCCTGCAGCTTCCCCTCTCTCCTGTGAGGGCGCTGGACGCATGGTCACTTGGGACCTGCTGGCACCTTAGGGAGAGGAGCAGCAAGAGAAAGCCTGAGTCTGCAGCACCAGGAGAATTTGGAGACTGGAGTTGGGACGTGCTGTCCAGGCAACATGGACACGGCCATTTTCAGAGCTGTGCAAGGGGAGGGCGCTGTTTTCTGGTCCTGACAGAGATCAGCTGTGGGGGCTATGTCAGCTGGAGGGCTGGGTGCGTGCAGGGAGACATTTTGGTTACACCTGTGGTTTGACCCACTATTGCTGAGACCCTTTGCTGGGAATAGAGGGAACTGAATGTCCCTCTTGATGAACAAGTGCCATCCTTCAAGGAGTCTGGGGGAGAGGTGAGTCTCTTGGGAGGTGGTGAGTGTCCCACCATGGGAGGTTGATGGCTGGTTGGGGGGTTCCTGCAGCAGCAAGGCCTCTAGGTGATTCCGATGTCCATCAGATGCTGCTTGGGATGGTGGTTTGGGAAGCAGGCTGTGATCTCTTCTTAGACTTGCTTTCCTCCCTTCACCTGGGACCCCTCCTCCCCTCTCCCCCCTCCCTGTGAAGACTGGTATGGAAGCTTCTGTACCCATTGGGTTATTGGGTAATCACTCTTTCACCATTCCCCTATGCATTGCCCCTCCCCAGCATGTTGAAATCAAATGTGTTATGCCCCATTAAAAGAAAAAAAAAGAAAAAGAAATGAAAAGAAAAAGAGAGAAAGCAGTCTGTGAGTCAGGCTCCCGAGTGCTGGGGTATTAACTCTGCCATTTCCTAGCTACACCTTTGCCGAGTCTCAATTTCCTCATCTATAAAATGGGGCTATTGATCCATGCTCACGTGAGATGCATTTGAAAAGCTCATGGCACTTAGGCAGTGCCTATTATGTGGCACTTTGGTGATGATGCTATTCATCATCCACAACCAGTGAGACACAGGGTGGAGGTGGCATGTGCTGCTGGGGACAGACCTGAGTATGGGGTACAACAAGGGTCAGAGCAATGGAACCCCTGGAAAGGAGGGCTCTGCTGGTGCCACAGCGGGCCAAGGAGAGCTGCCTCATTTTGCTTGGGTGTGGGGGAGCCTGCGGGTGCCCTCCAGCCCTGCAGATCTGTGTGCCTCTCAGAGATGCCAGCCTTTTCTGCCAGAGAGGAGGCAGCCAGGCCACTAGAACATGAACAATAAAACCTGGGTTAGAAACTCTGCCTGGAGCCAGAGCGTTCCTGAGTGTGCCTGACATGCCCCCTGCTGGCCACTCCTGCTAGTCTGGGACTTAATACCCCAAGACAGCAAGGAAGCTGTTCGGGAACTGACCACTGCTGGGGACTGGGGCAGCAGGTCACCCATGCCATCCCATTTAACCCTCAGGGACCCTAGCATAGTAGCTATTAGCACACAGAGGCTTCTTTCGGCAAATAGAGACCCAGAAGTCTTTTTCCCTCTGGAGCTAGAGCATTTTTTCCTTTAAAACATTAGAATTAACCATGTCTCTTTTTTCACTTTGGCAACCAGGAAGCTCAGAGCCAAATCTCAACTCCGGCACACGCTTAGCACCTAAAAGTAGACTGGCCCTTACTGAACTCTTACTGTATTCTCCAGACCTGTGCTGGACGCTTTGCCTGTCTCGTCCCATGTAGTCTTTGTGGCAGCCCTGTGAGTTAGGAAACTTTGTAATCCCCATTTTGCAGATGAGAAAACTGAGGCCAGTCCCTTGATTGAGGTTGCTCAGCTAGTAGGTGGCAGAGCTGGGATTGAAGCCAGTAGGCTGACTTCCATCCCACTCTCTGAACTGTATGCTATCTGCTCTCTGTGTCGCACACCTATGCTTTGTCTTTCAACTTGAAATTCCGTCCTCCTCTGCTTTGTTTTTGCTGGTCCTGATTTTTTGTTTTGTATTGTATCGATAATTTATGGTATGTTTTCCAAAACACACCATAAAGCTAAAATGAAACATAAACTCTAGTCCTGACTGGGACCAGGGGGCCTGGAAGTGGCAGATCTGAGCCTCTGTCCTGGGGAGGCCCCGCCACTGCCAGGAGAGTGGCCTGCCTGGGAAGGGCAGTGGGAATAAGCAGCCTGTCCCCCTCTTTGTCCAGATGAATTGCTGTGGCTGGATAAGCTTCTACAATTGGACGTACAATGCTGAGCTCATGAATCACACTGAGGTCACCTACCCCTGTTCCTGCAAGGAAGAGGATGACAAGGGGGAAGAGGATGACAGCTACATCATAAGGAAGGGCTTCTGCGAGACCCCCGGCAATAGCACCCAGAGTGGCAACAGCCCTGAGAAGTGGCCTGTGTACCAGGAGGTGTGTGGAGGGCTGTGGTTCAGTGATGTGGGGACCATCTGGGCTCAGGGACACCTTTGGATTGAGACTTAGGCCACCCAGCCTTGCCTGGGCTACTGCTCAGTCCTACCTCCCTTCATTTAGTTTCTCCCTTTGATTCATTTGTTCATTCGTCATTTGTACCTTCATTTACTTGTTCATTCCTTCAGTGAACACATGGAGCCCTCTCTGCGGGCCCTCTGGGTGGGGGCGAGTCCTCTTGGTGGTTCTGCCTGAGGGGGTGGGGAGCATGATGTGGGGTGACCGGCTGTGTTCTCCCCTTGCAGGGTTGCATGGAAAAGGTGGAGGCGTGGTTGCAGGAGAACCTGGGCGTTATCCTCGGCGTGTGTGGGGGCATCGCTGTCATTGAGGTCTGGGTCCCCTCCCCTTTGGTCCTTCCTTAGGCTCTGTCCTCCTGGATTGTCTCTGCCCTACCAATGTCCTTGGGGAGGCAGAGACCTGCAGGGCAAGAGGCCCATCAGCTTCTAGAGGCCCTCTGGCCTGAGCACTGTCCTGCTCTGTGACATTGGACAAGATGCTGGCCCTCTCTGGGCCTCCCCCTGCTTCCTGCATCACAGGGTAGTTATGAGGCTTAAGTTGAGGATCCTCTTAATCCGTATCCAAACCTGTGTGTTAACCTGGATGGCGAGGCTAGAGCCTCTGTGGGCCTGGGCAATTCAACCTCCCTCTGACTCTTTATCTCTCCCCTGACAGCTCCTGGGGATATTCCTGTCCATCTGCTTATGCCGGCACGTCCGCTCTGAAGACTACAGCAAAGTCCCCAAGTATTGAGGCAGCTGCTGTCCTCACGTCCCTTCCCGTTCCCCAACCTCAGGGCTTCCAGGGCTCTCCCTGGCTCCCTCCTCCAGGCCTGCCTCCCTCCTCACTGCCAAGGCCCCTTGTCCATCCTTTGCTGGCTGGAAGCAGGGCTTTCTAGGGCCTGGCCCCCTCCCCCTACCTTTCTGCTGCCAGCCTGGAGCCCAGGCTGTTCTGTGGCTCTCAGCTCACTGCCCTCCAGGGTTCTCTTAGCAACTCAGAGGAAATGCTCCCTGCAGCATCCCCATGCAGGTAGGCTGGGTCTCCACCTGCCCTCAAGGCTGTGTATATTGTATAGGGGAAAGTGTATTAAAATTGGGGGGTGGGGTGGGATAAGGAACCCTGGGCTGTCACGGGACTGCCCACTGGGTGGGTCAACTCTTTTTCCACTATGATGCTTATATCTTTGGTTTTTCATATTTTTATTGAAGGTAGTGGGAGAGGGTGGGCTTTACCTGACATTAAGGGACAGCACCCTCTCCTAGGCCTGGCATGGCCCATCCAGGCAGCTCAGATCAGCCTGGGCCATGCTGTAGGGGCGGAACCGAAGTGAGCTCAGCTGAAGGGGTCTGCCTGAGTAAGGGGATCTGGCCTGGCTCTGGGCTGCTTAGGGACAGAGAGCCCTGCATTCTCCAGGATCCTGAGCTGTCCAAGGAGGAGGGGAGGAGGACATCTTCTCCTGGGAGAAGCTAGGCTGGCCTTTCCTGGCAAGCTGTCCTCTGAGCCCCCAGAAGTGGGGTGGGTAAGGCTGTGCCTTGTAGGGGTAGTGGGGAGGGGCTCTGTGTGCACAGTTCTATAAAACATACTCAAGATTCAAAGACTGACTATTAAAGAGGGTTTGTAACAATCCAGTCTGAGATGGTAAAGATGCTGCTTCCCAGGACGGGGCAGGACCAAAAGGGAGACATGTGAGCACAGCAGCTGGGCCTGCTGGAAAGAGTGGTGGGTCCCTCGCTGCTGCCCTAGGAGCATCTCCGGCCCTGCTCAGCCTGCTACATGAGGAGCATAATGGTCCTGGTCCTTGGTCAGCCTGCCTGGCTGCTGGGGTGCCTGGAGTTTGATTTTTGTGTTAAAACAGGCATAGATCTTACCTCTCGATTCCTGCTTCTGACACCAGGGTACAAGTGCCCCAGAAGGTGCACAAAAGTGGGCTGGCAAGGGTTCAGATGCCCATACCAGCCAGCTGCACACACACAAAAGTGGGCTGGCAATGGTTGGAAGGGGCAGTGAAGCCACAGAATAAACTTGGCCTATCTTTCTAGAACACTCATTTTTTACAAAGATCTGTAGAAGGAAACATATTCATACAAGTAAATATGATGAGTGAGATGTGCAGAATTTAGAGGCCCTTTAAAGATGAAATATGAGATTCTTGTGCCGGCTCTTACAGCTGAGCCCATCACACCCCCTGCCCAGTGTCACAAAGCCCAGAGGTGTGTGGATGCTCAGCCTTTAGAGGTAGCACTCTTTGGGTGGGTGGGATGGAAGGCCAGGGAAAAGGCAACTAGGAGAGCACTTGCCCCACCTCTCCTCTTCCCTCACTTCTCCAGTTCACTGGAGGAAGAGGAAGGGGTGCAGCAGGGGGACTTTGATCTCCCTGCAGTGGGGTGGGCAAAGCAGGGGATGGGTGGTGTTTCAGCAGGAACCTCCAGGGGGCGCTGCTGCATCGGCCTAGGAGCCCAGCAGAACCCAAAGTTGCCCTGGTTCCTCCAGGTGCTTCCCCAGCCCTAGGCCTGCAGCTCTCTCCCTTTGGTGCACTTATGAAAATGCAGATTCCAGAGCTCAAGAAGTCTGACCAGCAGATCTGGGATGGGGGCAAGAAATCTGCATTTTTTGCAGGCTTCTGAGATGATTCCTGAATTGCGGTGCTTTAGAGTCCCGGGTCCTAGTGAGATGTAACCAGAAACTAGCTTCCCCAAAGACAGATGGGATGAGGGTGTCTGGGCCATAGAGCCTGTCCTCAGCAAGGAAGAGGCACACCTTAGGGACAGTCTAACTCTTACAAGAGATTTTCTGTGGCTGAAATTCAGAGCAAACCATGGATGAGGGTGTCTGGGCCATAGAGCCTGTCCTCAGCAAGGAAGAGGCACACCTTAGGGACAATCTAACTCTTACAAGAGATTTTCTGTGGCTGAAATTCAGAGCAAACCACTTTTAGGCCTCTGGGTGGCACCAGGTATTGCACTGGGGGCTGAGGAAGACTTAAGCTCCCTAGGGCTGTTCTCGGCCACATCCCACAACCGGGGACTCTCCCTGCAGCTGCTTGTCATGTTCCAGGGCTGGGGGCTCTGAGTGAAGCCGTTCCAGTTTATTTTATTTATAACCTGCCTCGTTCAACAAAGGAAGCACATATAATGAAATATAAAACATAACAGGGAAAATATAAATTTATGAGGAAGTGTAGGCTGGGGTGAAATAAACACAGCTGAGTTGTCCATGAGGTTACTTACCTACTGATGGCAAACACATGCTGTGCACGGCGTGCGCCCTCTGTGGCCACGCCCCCAGCAGCCATCACTAATTGGTCACAGTTCTCATTTTCTTACCCCAGATGCACCCTGGCCATGCTTACAGCCAACGTCACTCATTGCAGCCTCAGACTTCTTCTCAACTCAGCACTATCTATCAATCTAGTCGGGATGCAAAATGAAAGCAGTTGCCAACCTTGAACTCTTGTTGTGTTGAACTATATATAATTTTGCCTCTGAGCTTCCTGGTGGCCAAAGGGAAAAAAAAAAAAGGAAAGCTTTGTCAGTTATATAGCTCTCATTTCCCAAGGTGTCCTCATGCTTAGCTACTAGGAAAAATGTGGCTGGCTGGAATCTAGAATTCATGACTACCCCCAAACACAAAAACCTTGATAGCCCTTCATGGTGGGAACAAGAAAAGTCATAGGCCCAAAAAGCAAAAAAGAGCCCACGGTGTGCTCATCCCTGTGCTGGTTATTAGCAGTGGCCACAGAAGCTGTGCTGTTTGCCAAGGAGGAGCCCAGTGAATGCCTGTGAACAATTAGGCAACAGTTTTACATAGCAGTGATGCTGGATAGCACACTCTCTGTCCTAGCCTGCATGATGTACGCCTATGTTAGTTCACTCACTACAGTCCCCTGAGGTGCGTGATCATTATTATCTCCATCTTACTGCTAAGGCTAGTGAAGAACAAGAGGTTAAATGATTTTCTCAACATTCTGCTGTTTCTAAGGGGGAGCTGGGAGTCATACCCCAGCTATCTGGTTGCACAGTCTGGAGCTGCTACCAGCCCCTAAACCCTAGTGCCTCTTCGCGGCAAGCAAAAGCAGGGCAGATGGCAAAGCAGTCAGGATCTGTTCCACGTTTACTGTCTGTCCATCTGCACCATGGGGAGCCCTACGTGCTGCCCCTGCCCTGAGGATGGGCTGGCAGAGGAGGAGAGAGCCTGGTGGGCAAAACAAGGAGGCTATAGTAAAGTCAAGAGACAAACCTCGCCTCCTGGCTGCAGGCCGGGACCTGCATCAGACAAGGAGAATCTGGGGCTTCAGCTGGACTTGGAGCTGTGTGGAGTGGGCAGGGGCTGACTCAGCTTAGAGGTCCTCAGGTGCCCACGCAGCAGCGTCCACATCAGGCCTCAGGGAGGTTCGTAGCTGCCCAAGGGAGGGCCCAGGACCTGATTCAGGCAGACTGAGCTCAAATGGAGGCTCTGGCTCCTCGATATATTGGGGAACATAATTTCACGTAATAACTTCGTATAGCATACATTATACGAAGTTATACGAGTGGCCACAGAAGCTGTGCTGTTTGCCAAGGAGGAGCCCAGTGAATGCCTGTGAACAATTAGGCAACAGTTTTACATAGCAGTGATGCTGGATAGCACACTCTCTGTCCTAGCCTGCATGATGTACGCCTATGTTAGTTCACTCACTACAGTCCCCTGAGGTGCGTGATCATTATTATCTCCATCTTACTGCTAAGGCTAGTGAAGAACAAGAGGTNCACAGAAGCTGTGCTGTTTGCCAAGGAGGAGCCCAGTGAATGCCTGTGAACAATTAGGCAATAGTTTTACATAGCAGTGATGCTGGATAGCACACTCTCTGTCCTAGCCTGCATGATGTACGCCTATGTTAGTTCACTCACTACAGTCCACTGAGGTGCGTGATCATTATTATCTCCATCTTACTGCTAAGGCTAGTGAAGAACAAGAGGTTAAATGATTTTCTCAACATTCTGCTGTTTCTAAGGGGGAGCTGGGAGTCATACCCCAGCTATCTGGTTGCACAGTCTGGAGCTGCTACCAGCCCCTAAACCCTAGTGCCTCTTCGCGGCAAGCAAAAGCAGGGCAGATGGCAAAGCAGTCAGGATCTGTTCCACGTTTACTGTCTGTCCATCTGCACCATGGGGAGCCCTACGTGCTGCCCCTGCCCTGAGGATGGGCTGGCAGAGGAGGAGAGAGCCTGGTGGGCAAAACAAGGAGGCTATAGTAAAGTCAAGAGACAAACCTCGCCTCCTGGCTGCAGGCCGGGACCTGCATCAGACAAGGAGAATCTGGGGCTTCAGCTGGACTTGGAGCTGTGTGGAGTGGGCAGGGGCTGACTCAGCTTAGAGGTCCTCAGGTGCCCACGCAGCAGCGTCCACATCAGGCCTCAGGGAGGTTCGTAGCTGCCCAAGGGAGGGCCCAGGACCTGATTCAGGCAGACTGAGCTCAAATGGAGGCTCTGGCTCCTCGTAGGCATGTGCTCCCAGCAGACCTCTTGGCCTCACCTTCCTCATCTGGACCCTGGGGATGTTACCAGAGCTGTGTGGGGCTCCATCTGGGACAAGGGGTTATGTAGAGCCCTCAGGAGGGAAACTGACCACATGTGATGGTTTCCCCTGGTTTTGCTCATCCCACATGCTCCAGTGGAGCAGACATCGTTCTGTCTCTGAGACTGTGGCAGCATAGGGCATGGGGCAGTACAGAGGCAAGGCTCTGCTGGAGTCGGGACAGAGGAATGCAGGTCCCTATGGGGGTGGCAGGAGAGTCCGGACTGCTAGATGAGTCCTTCAGTGACGTCTGTGGGTGTGGACCCCTCTCTTGATACCTGGGGAGAAGTAGGCACAAAGGGGGCTTGGGTGTTCCAGACAAGGATGGCTGCCCGGTTTAGCTCTCTGGGTCCCATCAGGTGCTTGGAGTTGGGGACGGTACCCAGGGTTGGCCCCTTTCTTCTCCCATGCACATCTCCCCTTCTCAACCCTCCTGGGCTTGGGTGGTGGGAAGAATGGGGGTGCTGGGAATGGCCCAGGAAGCCTAGAACTCCCAAAGGGCAGCAGCAGATGTTAGCTGGCAAAGAACAGAGCATGAATTATCGTTTGGGTGTGTCGGGCCCAGATGCCCGAGGCTAGCTCTGGGGCGGTGGTTGGGAGTCTTGAGAGGCTGGGGGCAAGAGAGACCTGATGTAACCACTGTCCCCGGCCACCTGCTGACCTCCCACCCAGATGGGGCCAGCTGGGGGGTATCAATACTGGGATCAGCTCCCTTTCAGGTTGTGGGGGGTGGAGAGTGGAGTCACAGTTGGTCCACCTGGCCTGTCCTCACAGGCCCTGTTGTTCTGGGTGAGGGCCCCTCACAGCTTCGCCTGCAGAGAGGGTATCCGACAGCTTCTTGGGATGTCTCTTCATAAATGCTTTCTAATCAACAGCCAGGGGACCTGGGTTTGAATCTAGCCCCACCTCTGTCTTCCTGGGTGACCCTGGGCCAGACAGGGTGCGGGTGGGCTCAAAAATGTGTTTGGAAGGGCCGGCCTGGTGGCGTACTGGAGAGTGTGCTGCTTGGGAGCACGGCGGTGCTCCCGCCGAGGGTTTGGATCCCATGTGGAGACCGGTTCTCGCTCACTGGCTGAGTGCGGTGCGGGCGCAACACTGAGGGTTGCGATCCCGTTGCCGGTCCCCGGTACCTGGGCCAGACAGGGTGCGGGTGGGCTCAAAAATGTGTTTGGAAGGGCCGGCCTGGTGGCGTACTGGAGAGTGTGCTGCTTGGGAGCACGGCGGTGCTCCCGCCGAGGGTTTGGATCCCATGTGGAGACCGGTTCTCGCTCACTGGCTGAGTGCGGTGCGGGCGCAACACCGAGGGTTGCGATCCCGTTACCGGTCAGTAAAAAAGACAAAAAGGAAAAAGAAAATGTGTTTGCAAAATATTTAAGACAGAAAATATCAGAAGTGATTGAGGGTGGGCTACATCCCCCAGGCCGCTTCCTCTGGCATGTCTGTCCTGCCTAGGGCTTCACAGCTAGAAGGTGCCAGAGCCAGGATG